AGATATAGATATAGATATAGATATAGATATAGATATAGATATAGATATAGATATAGATATAGATATAGATATAGATATAGATATAGATATAGATATAGATATAGATATAGATATAGATATAGATATAGATATAGATATAGATATAGATATAGATATAGATATAGATATAGATATAGATATAGATATAGATATAGATATAGATATAGATATAGATATAGATATAGATCAGGATACAGATACAGATACAGATATAGATATAGATCAGGATACAGATACAGATACAGATACAGATACAGATACAGATACAGATACAGATACAGATACAGATACATATACATATACATATACATATACATATACATATACATATACATATACATATACAGTTACATATACAGATTTACTCACATTAATTGATATTTATTGGATACAAATACATACATATATGCATATGCTTTGCAGAGACATATGCAGATACAGGTACAGATGCTGAAGCAAATATAGATTCGTATTCAAATGTACATGCAGCTAAATACATAAATATATTTACTGATATAGATTCAGATACATACATATATATTTACAGATATAGATACATATGTATTACATGGCCACGCGTGCGCTGTGAGTAAATTGTCTGGACAGCTATTGTTTTTCTTAGTAATTGACATGGGCATATATCACAATAGCACCTGATGATCGCACTTCAGTAACAAAACTCGATTAGCGGATTATCTAATTATCACATCTCAAGAACACATCTGAATCTTAACAAGGTACAGGTTGGAGAGGGTTGAGAAGCACAGGGTCTTCAGTTAATGCGAAGCTCTAATGCGCTTTGAAAGCTCTTCTGGGATATAGGTCGATGTTGGGTATAAAACCTGTATAGTTGGACTAGCTAACTAAAATCTTGGACAGTTGAAATTGAAATTGGTGAAAAGTGTCCATATGAGAAGCGAATGGGTATACCGTATACGATTTGACCCACTGTGCAGCCACTTGGAGTTCCCACTAATTGCAGTAAGCGCACAGGCGACCACAAGGAGCGAACGCATTGGCTGGCATTGACAATCCAGACTATTCAGACAATTCGTGTTACAGATGCATATAATGCATACATGCATACAGTATACAATATATATTTTTGTATGTATATGTAGCAATATACTATATATGTGCGTAGTTATCTTGAGTATCTCAGGAATGTATCTTTTCTCCTTGTGCAAGCGCAGCCCAAAATGCATGCAACAGCGACAGCAACAACAACAACAACAACACGACAAACAACTCGCATATATACACATTTATATATATATACACATACACACTCATACACATTGGCATACACACCAAAAAGGACGCACAAAAAAAATAAATACAAAAAAAAAAATTGCAGTATGCAGACAGAAGAAGTAGACGGTAGACGCGTCTCGGAATTCGGCAAAGGGACCAGAGACCAGAGACCAGGGCCATGAGTCCAGGGTTCACAAACCAGGGACCTGTTTTTCTGTTTATCTCCCTCTCTATTTATCACTCTCTCTCTCTCACTCACTCACTCACTCTCTGTCCCTCGCTCGCTCTGGCGCTCTCTTAGCACATTTTGCGCATTTTTGTTTGCTTTTAACCTTAACTGGCAACTCGGGTTTTGAGTTTTTTTTTCATTTCCTTGTGGGAAATTGTGTGTTGCACAAATACACACACAAACTCGCATACTAGCTTACACACACACACACACACACTCACATTGATGTGTATTCACATTCAAACAAATATAAATATGAATAGTAGAACAACTACAACAAATTTTTTGCTTCCTCCTCGAAAAACAATTCCAGTTAAATCCGTTCGCGGCTCATTGTTGTTGTTGCTGTTGTTGCTGTTGACCTTGGCCTCCAGGTAAACAATTTACTCATGCAGCGTCTAATTAGGCCCTGGGAAGCTGCATAGCGCCTTTCATGTTCTACTCCTCCCAATTCCTTACGCTCTCTACCAACTACATAACTAAATATATTCATATATATCTATATTTGTATACCTGCCGCTGTAATAATTCTCGCTAAATCTCATCGAGTTCTTCAGCTCCCTTAACCAACAGCTTAATCTTCATTAGCTCTACGTTGTCCTAGTTGCAGGACTTATCCCAAATAGAGCTGAGTGTGTGGCCAGTTGACTGCCATTTGCAATTAGTAGGTCATTTATTAATGTTAGTCGCAGCGATTTATACTTAACTTGGGTTTCCGAGAAACTAAACAAGTTATTTATATTTATTAAGTGATCTACATGATCTTTTCAGAGATGGTCAACTCGATTACTGTTGATTAATAGACGTCATCAATTTTTGGAGAGTTGGTGGAATGATCACAAGACTTTATTATGTGACTAATTATTGTCTTAATGTGAGAGCTATAGAGATGTGTTATTATTATGTTAAAGACATGATCAAATGGAAGACATAACAGATAATGAAATTAAAGATCGTGGGAGATTGGCAGCATTATGTTTGTTGATATCTATAGGATATTTTATATGAATGATAGACCTACATAGTAATCGAAATTCCAAAAACTACAACTTATGCAAGCATTAGTAGTAAACTATATATATCCACTAAATTTTCTATAAGAAAATAAATATTTTTGCAGTTGAGTCTTTCATATCAGGGTTGGAATTTCCTCTAAAGTGAAAAAAGAAAAAACCTCTCCATAAAATGAGGAAAAGTAAAAGGCAGCAATTAATTAGTAGGCATATCCGCAATTAGTGTGAAAATGATGGTTCGAAGTCGGAAGAGAAAAGCAACAAAAAACCAAAAAATTATATTGTTTTGCAGAGGAAGAAGCAGTCAAGAAATAGGCAAAGAAATAAAAAAAAAAACCCTGGAAATGGGAAGCAAAAGGCGATGGGCGGCAAAAAGAAAAGGAACCAGGGCAGAAATGCGAACATGGAGAAAAGAAAGTCGTTAACTAAAAAAGCAGTAAAAATGGGGTAGTTATATCCTGGTTGAGGTGTCGTAAGTGAATGCCTAACAAAAGGGGCACATAAATCGTGGCAAAAATGACGCCAGGCCCATATGTCACGCAGCAGCAACAACTACAACAACGACAACAATGCTTAGGAAATGCCGAAACAGGAACCAACAGCAACAGTAGGAAGACAGGGAAACGCGACAGGATACGAATGCGCGGAGCAATTAGTGCAAAGGGGAAGTCAATTGAAGTTGCAACTACAACGAATTGAAAAGAAGTCGTGTCTATAAAAAGTAACTAAACTGGTAGTAAATTTTACTGTTTGACTATGGCATACCCTAGAAAAACAAATGTGTTTAGATTTGGGAAAACTAGGATTAGACTTTAATGTAATCGAAGTGATTCTTGTTCAATGGCTCTGAAATATTCAGGATTCGTATTATTATTAACCTTTGCGGGAATCTGCAATGGGGGAAAGGATTTTAAAGCGTAAATTTGAGATAATTGCTGTCTGAATGGTATGAATCATACAGAATTCAAAGTTGATATTGAAATGTTTCTACACACCAATCTTTATGGAATTACTTAAGGAAGATCAATAAGAATAGTTATAAGGGCAACATAGCCTATTTTAATATAGATATAGGGTATATGCTTTAACACGTGGAATCCTTTAGTAGAAACAGCAACAGCAGCAGTAAGCAGCCTGCATAACATTGGGCAGGCTTCAATATATGCAGCTAGGGGTGCCAACAACTATTCAACAGCTGCCACTGGGCCATTCACCTGCTTCGCCGCAGCAGCAGGCAAATAGCCACAACAACAGGTGCATTGATCTCTGCCATATTAGAGCTCGATATAATTACGCGTTATCGTACAGCGAAACAAAAGAAGAAAACCTCCACTAGAGACAACGTTTATGTGGACGTTGGCGCATGCGCCCCTGTTTGGCCAACACCTGACACGCCAGCAGGAAAACCCTGCGTCTGTCTATCTGTCCGGCCAGCATACTTAATCGAGACTCGTGGAAATTCTCTGTTGACGTTGATGATGATGATGATGACTAACCATTCCACTACCTGTCTAATCCAAGAGCCTTGTCGTTCCGTTTTGTAATTTGAATACCTTTCGACAAGGCACGTCCATTTTTACATCATCATAAAATCCATTCTCAATATTTATTTTGGTCTTTTGGCTAAAATGCGATATGGGAAAAATGGAGGAATTATTTCGATGCTTGAATTGTTTGTCTTAGTCTCTGTTTTTCGCCTTCGTAAATGCACGTAAACAAATTTGTTTTAGGTTTTCCCTATTCCTTATTTTTCTGTTTTTGACCAAACATTCACTTGGACCACATGCTGCGATAGTTGGATGAATGTCTCACATGTTGTCCATGTTGAGGAGGTCCTTGATGATTCCTAAGTCGTAAATTTTAATAGTTTGCTACATTTGATGTGCCTTTAAATGAATTGTTTATAGACTACATGTATTTTGCTTATATATTATTTTACTTAATTTTTTGTCTTTGTTTTTTCTTGTTTTTTATTGGTTTCAGTTCCTTTACTATAAGCCACACTTCAGTTTCTGCTTTTACGAGCAGCTCTACTTGAGTTAAAAATTAATTGATATTCAATTTATTACTTCAACGGCGTTTCAAAGCCGTACAATTATGGATCTATATGCCAATAGGTGAGTCTTTAATTTAATTTCGTTTTTGTTTATTTTCTTTGAAGAAAGATTTTTTCCTTTAGTTTTATTTAATATTATAATTAATTATTTTG